GTAGCGCCGGCGGCAGCGCCCAGCGGGGGGGGCATTTTCTCCTCAGCAAACGGAGGCTTCGAAAATTGCGCTCTGAGAAGAGCGTTTTTTGCTGCTGCGCCTGTCAGGCGTTGTCTGTCTCCTCGGCTGAGGAGGCTTTTGAATTTCGCGCTCTTTTGTGAGCGCCGTCGGCTGTGGTTTCAACGCCTGTGACTTCGCTCTCTAGTGATCACAGCTCTTTTGAATTTCGCGCTCTTTGTGAGCGCCGGCGGCTGTGGCTTCAGCGCCCGTGGCTTCGCTCTTAGCGACTTCAGCTCAAGCTACAGAGGCTTTTGAATTCGTGCTCCTTGTGAGCGCCGGCGGCTGCGGCTTCAGGGCCCGTGATTTCGCTCTCAGTGACTAGCTCAGCTGATTCAGTCCGGTTGCCTCTCCTTTGTGCGATCCCACCCTCGTCGCCAGTGTTGTGTAGTCGGATGACACAGGAGGCAGACACGGAGCTGAAGGCTAACATCACTTTATTGAAGCATAACAGGTTGCCGCGGTTGCCCTGGCTGGGCAGGCAGCCCGGAGGGCAAGAGCTGCCCTGGCTGGGCAGGCAGCCCAGAGGGCGAGCTGCTGCCCTGGCTGGGCAGGCAGCCCAGAGGGCGAGAGATCTGAGCGAGCGAGCGAGCTGAGCTGGCTTGCTCTGCTCGACAGCCGGCTTTTATAGCCGACTGTCAAACGGAGCCAACCAATGGGAGCGGCTGGTGTTCCTGCTCAAACAGCGGACCTGGTTGGGGACTCCAACCAGTTCCAAAGACATAACGGAAACTGTCAGGGACACAACACACATCATGGTCATTAATTCTCTCAGGCATCTCTCATATTCATCATGGAACTGATAGAACTTGCAGTGTTGCAGGTTGCACATTAGGAAGGGAATTTGGGAAGAAGCCCATCACAGAATGGGGACTAAGGGAGGCTCAAATTCTGGATGGTTCAACATTCTCTACTGTTGATTGGGGTGTGTGTGTGCTTTTGAGATTGCTTTTCTTTCACAAATGTTGATTTAAAACTGAGCAGTATCTGGAGACCATATAAAAGGACGAGTGCTTACAAAGAAGCAGCATAAAAGAAACCAAACCACAATTTGGAAGGTTCGCAGCTGCTACACAAAGTGATCCAGAAGAAATAAACTATGGAAAAAGAAAAACAAATGATGGTGGTCCACTGGGAATAAAAGAGAGAAATTATCACAAAATGATGACACCCGTGAGAGGCTAGGGAGGTTCCAGTGCAAACAAGAACTTTTATAAGTCTCCATTAGCCATTACTACAATGGTGCATGACTCAACGAAAATTCACACATACTTACAAATATCCCTCCCCAAAAGGGGTAGCCTCCAATTGCAGAGATGGGGAGAAACCTGAAAGAGGAAACCAATGAAGAAAACGAGACAGTTCCAAAGCCAATGTGGATCAGCCCAATCATGATTTCGACAGCCTGCAGAAGGAAAACACACAAAATAAGACAACTTCATTTGCTGAATCTGAGAAAAATATTCTGATTTGTTACCACCCCAGGAAAGATATCATTTCTATCCATCTTAGAAAAATCCTTCAAGGGGGTTGGGGCTTCTAAGCTTGCAGTGCAGGTGTTGACCTAAGTCCTGGTTTCCTATGGTGAAAAATCCTAATGGGGAGAAGGGACAGTTTGAGACACCGTTGTCACTATGTACTGGACATTTACTTCAGACTATGATCTAGTTTGACCCTCATTGGGACAGTTTTTGTCAGGAAGATGGTCTGTAAAAATATCATACTGGGCCTTTGAGAGAGAAATGCTATGTCTTTCACTGCAGACTCCTCTGAAGTAGGAAGTTATATGCAGTCATAAGCGCAAAGTGACTTCAACCATCTTGGGCTGGAACCAATCCATGACTAAGTCATTCTGGAGAAATGCCCAACAGTTGCACTTCTCAACTGGCTGAGCTCCACTTTCTCATTTAAGGAGCAAAGCAAAAGAATGAATATCTGAGTCAGAATGTTTTGCATAATCACAAATGAAACTACCAGGAAGAACAGAGGTTTCTGGAGTAGATTCCAGAACCAGACAACAGACAAGCCAACTTCAAGAAATTCAACATGAGGGTCTCAGGTATCTACATAGCTCTAAAACTTTAATGGACTTCAAACAGGAACATAACAAAGCATGCATACCCCAAGCACTTTGGGCTCAGCCTTGAGGAATCTCTCCAAAGGACTCTTTTGTGGGATTTGTTGAGGAGCACTGGTGGAAATCCCAAGTTGCTGAGCTCCATACTGAGGATATGGAGTTGTTCCAGATGCCTGAAGAGCAACACTGGGCAATCCAGGGGTCATTTGGATTATGTTTGCTCCATTAGAGGGGATGACAATTGTGGTTTCAGTGGCCATGCTTGCTGGCAGTGTTGCCACAGCTAATTTACCTGCAAACAAACAAGTGAGGAAAAGTTAAGGTCTTAACATCAAGGAGGCAAATTCTGGTCCTTCTCCTTAATTTCACTTTACGAGATAATATTTGCCTGTAGTGAAACTGAAGAAGATTGTCAGAAGGGTTCAGGGAACAGGTAGTAAAAACATACGACTTTCTCAGGGATAGAAATCCTCCTTTTGCCTACCATTTAGCGAGAACAAAGAAGCTTCTTACTTGAGAAGTGAAATGTTTTCAAGGAAAAAACCCCAAAAGACTCCAGTTGCTTTTTGAAAAGCATCTTTGGGACAACCATGACCTGGAAGATTGAGAATCTCCATGGACATCAGTTGAGAAAAAGTTAAGGAGAACAGAGAGAACATAATATTTTTCAATGCAAAAGGTCTCTTTCTGATCTTAGCACCACCTCGGAATCCCCAGCTAAATGGCATTTCCATTTGGGCAAGGTTTTATTGTACTTCCCTCTTGTCCTGTTACTGGCAAATGGATCTAAAGGCATCAAGCATGGATGATCATGTTGATTGCCATCTTCCAGGAAAGTCGTACTGATTGGGACATAAGTTACTGGGAAGGACTCAAGAACAGGATCTGTATCCCACCTTTGCTTCATTGATGTGGTGAGGTTTCTTATCAGGACACAACTGGACCATCAGCCTGGGTTTCCTAACAAAACTCTGGACAACCTCAGAAAGCAGGGAAGGGGTACAGTAAAATTCCAATTGCCATCACATCTAATAGCCCTCCGGATTTTTAAAACTCTGACCAAAGGCCCCGAATTAATCCCACCAGTTAGGATTTGTACAGCCCTTAAGAGGAAGCTACTTCCCTTTTGAGCTGTATTAATTGGAAGTCAAAGTTAAGTGAGAGTCGACCCATCTACATTCTTTTGAATGGTGGACTTCAATATTGAATCTTAGTAAGTTTACACGGCGCCTTTGCGCGCGTTGGGCACATCCATCACAAGATTAACTGCAAACTCTTTCCTGTCCGCTAATTCTCCCCTGAAATCCTCCCTGTTAGATCGGTGGATCGGGTCACATAAGAGGCGAGACGCGAAAGTGAACAATCAGCTCTTTATTGTGACTTCAGAACACGGACAGCTAAAGTGTGCGAGCCGCTCGGCTTTATACAGCCGGCCGGCGGCTCGGCGGCCAATGGCAGCACTTTGAATCTCCCGTGATCGGCTCGGCCAATCGCGGTAGATTCTCAGCGCTCCAATCACAGGCGTTCAGTGAACCAATCGGGTTGCGGTCCGGGTGGACCAATCAGAATGCGAGTTTACAAGAATGTTAATACAGAACACCCCTCCCCTCATGGTTTCGTCCGACGCAGCGTCGTGACGTAGTCGCGCAGGTAGGTGGGACTCTGAATCTGTCTAGTTGACCTGCACGGTTCAGTCTGTGTGTGATCGTCGGCCGGTTCGGACGGGCTCCGCGTCGCTCTCAACTCCGTTGATGGAACCGCCTGGAAGGGTGAGCCGGGCCTGTTGCCGCAGCTCCCGCCCGGACTACCTGGGTCGGTCGAGTTGCGGTTCCTGTTGCTCTCGCTCGGTCTTTCCGGGCTGGTTGAGCTGGCTTGGCTGTACCTCCCAGGTGAAGATCCCGTCTGCGACAGTTCGAGGTCTGCTGGTGAGTATGGCTGATTTATTTGAATGTTTCTGTCTTCTGGTGGGGGGTGTTCGGCTTGCGTTGGGGGGTGTGCCGTTGACGATTCTGGCCTTTCGTCGTTTACCGGCTTGGTTGTTGAGGCTTCCCCTCCCTCTCTGCTTTCCTTGGTTGTTGTTGCCGAGGCGTCGGGGGTGTTGGCGGCTAGTCTGGACCGTAGCTGGTTGATGTGCCACTTCCAGCTCCTTCCGTCTGTCGTTTGGAGTCTGTATGATCGGGGCCCGGTTACCTGTGTTATTTGTGCAGGTACCCAGAGGGGGTCTCCTGTGAAGTTCTTTGTGTAGACCGTGTCCCCGATGTTGAATGCCCGGTACCGGCTGGAGGAGTTTGGGGGTTTCTCTGGGTTGTAGGTGGGGTGTAGTCGGTCCAGTGGAGACCTCAGTTTCCTTCCCATCAGTAACTCCGCTGGGCTCTTGTTCGTGGTCGTGCTCGGCGTGATGTGCTGTATGAAGAGTAGCTTGTTTATTTTTTCTTGGATGTCGCTGGTTTCGATTTTTTTGATGGTTTTTTTGTGTATTGGATCATCCGTTCCGCCCTACCGTTCGCCGCCGGGTGAGCCGTCGAGGTTAAGGCGTGTCTGATGCCCCGTTCGGCCAGGTATTTTTCAAATGCCAGTGCCGTGAACTGTGGCCCGTTGTCCGACACTATGACATCCGGTAGCCCATGCATTGCAAAGAGTCTGTTGAGCTTGTCGATGACCGCTTCTGTTGTTGTTGCCCTCATGGTGCTTACCTCCAGCCAGTTGGAGTAAGCATCTACGGTGATGAGGAATGTATGCCCCTTGGTTGGCCCGGCGAAGTCTATGTGTATTCGCGACCATGGTCCTCTGGGGGTTTCCCATTCCAGGACTGGGGCGGCGGGGGGGGGGTGGCTCTCGACTCTTGGCACCTGCTGCAGCCGGCGACCCATGTCTCGATTTGTTTGTCCATCCCTGGCCACCAAGCGTAGCTTCTGGCCAGGGCTTTCATCTTGACAACCCCGGGTGTCCCTCGTGCAGCATTGCCAGCACTCTATTTTGTAGTGCTTCCGGTATGACTACCCGGTCTCCCCAGAGTATGCACCCCCTTTGTGTGAACAGCTCAGTTTAGCAGTTTCGGAAGGCTTTGAACTGTTCGCCGCCTTCGTTTTCCGGCCACCCCCGCTCTACCCAGCTCAATACCCGTGCCAGCCGTTTGTCTTTATTTGTTTCCTGGGCAATGTCTGGCGCGGTTAAGAGTGGGCTGGGTAGGGTCTCGATTTGCAGGATCATCGTTGTGGGCGCTGGGTCATCGTCTAGGTCTGGTAGTGGTGACCGGCTTAATGCATCAGCGTGCGGAATGTTCTTGCCGGGCTGGTGTGACAGTTCATACGAGTACGCGGAAAGGAACTCGGACCACCGTGTCATCCGGGGCGACAGGATGTTCGGGGTGGCCTTGTTCCCTGCGAGTATCCCAAGCAGGGGTTTGTGGTCCGTAATGATTGAAAAGGTCCTACCGTAAAGGTACTCGTGAAACCTTTTCACTCCGGCGATGATGGCGATGGGTGCTTCCTTCCCGTCGGGTAGGGTATGGCTGAGGACCGCTCCGATGCCAAAAGGTGATGCATCGCAAGTTACCGTGAGTGGTAGAGTCTCGCTATACTGGATCAGGACTGTGTCTGATGTCAGCAGGTTTTTTGTTTGTTGGAACGCAGTCTCCTCCCACTTTCCCCAGGTCCAGATGGCTGCTTTATCGAGTAGCCGGTGTAGGGGTTCCACCACGGTCGCCTTCTGGGGTAGGAAAACATTGTAAAAATTAAGCAGTCCCAAGAATGCCTGTAGTTCCGCCTTGTTTGTTGGTGTGGGGGCTTCTTTGATGGCTCTGAGTTTCTTCCCGGTTGGGTGTATTCCGTGCCGGTCCAGGAGGTACCCCAGGAATTCGACCCTCTCGGTGTGGAGTTGGCATTTGTTTCTTTTGACTTTAAAACCGGCGTCTTTGAATTTGCTAAGCACCGCCCTTAAACGGGTTTCCAATTGTTCTCTGTTGGCGGCTGCGACCAGCACGTCATCAAAGTAAGGGACCACTCCTTTTATTCCCTGGAGGAGCCTTTCCATGAGACTTTGGAAGACTCCTGGGGCGACGCTGACTCCGAATTGGAGTTGGTTGCATCGAAAAGCCCCCCGGTGTGTAACAATCGTTTGCGCTTCGGCTGTCTCCGCATCGACCGGCAATTGCTGATACGCTTGTGCCAAGTCGAGTTTTGCGAAGACCCGGCCTCCCCCCAGTGAGTGCAGAAGGTGCTGTACTACTGGGACGGGGTAGGCGCTTTGCTGCAGCACGTGATTGAGGGTGGCCTTGTAGTCACCGCAGATTCTTATGGAGCCATCGGGTTTGATGGGGGTGACTATGGGCGTTTCCCAGCGGGCATGGTCGATGGGTTCTAGTACCCCTTGTGCGACGAGCTTGTCTAGCTGCTCGTCGATTTGCGGCTTGAGCGCAAATGGCTTGAGCGCAAATGGCACTCGCCGAGGCGGATTGGGGCGACGTTAGGGTTAAGGTTGAAAGAGATAGGGGGCCCTCGGTACTTGCCTAGTGAGTCATCGAAGACCTCCTGGAACTCTTTTACGAGGGTCGCTTCCCAGTCGGCCTCGTCCGTGTGATGGATGCCCGTCACCTCGATTCCCAGCGGGGAGAACCATTGCAGGCTGAGCAAGCTGGGGCGGTCCCGGTCCACGATTGTGAGTGGCAAGATGTCGGTGTGGTTCTTGAATGTGACTTTAAAATGCCCGATGCCGGCCACAGGGATGCGGTTTCCCTGGTAGTCTTTCAGGATTAGCTTCTGGTCGTCTAGTTCGTTGCGGCGGATGCTCGGTACTAGGCGCTTGATTGTGTGCCAAGAGACCATTGAGAGGTAGGACCCGGAGTCCACTTCCATCTCGCAGGGCTGGTCCTCGATGCACAGCGCCACGTGTACCTTTCGGGCATCCATGGTTGATGAATGGCCGATGACGACCGTCTGGTGGGTTTCCTCGCGCCGCTGTGCTTCGCTGAGTCGTCTGCTGCGGCTGTCGCGGCTCCACCGGCTCTCGGTCTGGCAGTCTCGGTGCCTGGGGGGAGTGCTGTCTCATCGTCGGGGGCTGTTTCCTCGTCGTTGCGGGCTGTAGCTCTTTTTGTTCCGGCACACCTTGGCGATGTGCCCCCGCTTCTCGCAATGCCGGCAAATGGCGTCGAGAAAACAGCATTCGGAGTGGGGGTGGTCACCGCCACAGCCAGCGCAATGGAAGCCTGACTTACGTCCCCTGCGGTCCCGGAGGTCGCGCTCGGTCTGCAGCCGATGGATCTCCTCGTCTTCGTCCTCGGTGTCGGATTGGGGTTCGAGGTCACCATGATGTGTGGTTGTTTCTCGGCGGCTGGCTTCTCCGGGCTTCGCTGAGGCTGGGGTCGCTTCGTTGGCCGGTGGCCGTTTAGTCGTGTTTGCTTGTCGCATCCGGGCTGCTGACTGGCGGGTGGCCTCGGTGGCGGTGGCCTCGGCGAGGGCGTCGGCGAGGGAGATGTTGCCCTTTGCCATTAGCCGGCTCTGCAACACGGGGTCTCTGAGTCTGAGGACAACTCGGTCTCGAAGTGCCTCGTCCAGGTCGGGGAATCCGCAGGGGCCTCCCAGGTTCTGCAGTTGAGCCACGAAGTCACCTATGGTTTCGCCTTCGCGCTGATCTCGGCGGTAGAAGTCGTGCCTACGGATGAGGATGGGCACGGCAGGGGCATAATGGCAGCGCAAGATGGGCTCGAGGTCAGCCCAGTCCATCTCCTTTACATCGGCGGGCTTGGCCAGCGCCTTGGCCATCTTGAATACCGTGGGGCCACAGTGCGTCAGAAACACTGCCTGTTTCCTCTGGCCGTTGGCGTCCTTGAGGTTGCTACATTCCAGGAACATCTGGAAGCGATCGGTGTATGACTCCCAGTCCTCGGTGGCTGGGTCGAACGGAGCGGGTGGCGGGGTGCTGGCCATCTTGCAGGTCGTTGAGCGCCGTTTGCCACGTGCTAGTTGGTCCTCGCCTCACGATCCCACCTTCGTCACCAGTGTTAGATCGGTGGATCGGGTCACATAAGAGGCGAGACGCGAAAGTGAACCAGCTCTTTATTGTGACTTCAGAACACGGACAGCTAAAGTGTGCGAGCCGCTCGGCTTTATACAGCCGGCCGGCGGCTCGGTGGCCAATGGCAGCGCTTTGAATCTCCCGCGATCGGCTCGGCCAATCGCAGTAGATTCTCAGCGCTCCAATCACAGGCGTTCAGTGAACCAATCGGGTTGCGGTCCGGGTGGACCAATCAGAATGCGAGTTTACAAGAATGTTAATACAGAACACTCCCATCTAGAAGACCTCAGGTGGCTGAGAGGACCGCGGGTGCATGGCTGCAGGGAAGAACCGGCAGGCACGGGATGGTCCACGTATTAATTCCATATTAATTTTTAAAGAAGTAACCAGAATTTACTCACGGCGACCGCTCAAGACGAAGTACACGGAAGCCTCAGGGGAAACGAAAGTTTCCTTAAAGAGAACAAATGGAGGGCAGAGCTCCCCTGCCTACTAAAAGGCGGGATTTACTCACCATAATCGGGGACCGCAGGTAAACCTTCTTTCTTGTCCCTTCAACTGTTGCAACAAATAACAGTTTGGGGCCAGGAACCTTCTGCTTGTTCAGAGACGAGAGGACAATTATCTAAGTTTATAAAGTCCTGTTATTCCCAGGCTAAAACGAATCACTGAAATCAAATGCATCTCTTTCGCTTCTCTTTCTCCCAAAGTACGTAAGACCCGCGCTTGGAGGGGCTCGTTTTCAACCCCTCGGAGGCTTTGCAGGAATCGCCAAAAGAAAAACAAGAGGACTCGCATTGCGACCACACAGCCTTCTCATCCGTCCGTCCGTCCGTCCCCCTCCCAGATCTCTTTAAGTTGCCTTGTCCAGCGGAGGAGATTTTTTTCCTCATCTTTCCCTCCACGGACGCCCCTTACGGCTTTCAGTTTCCTCTTTCAGGCGTTTGAACAGGCGAAGCCGCAACGGCATGAAGGGGAGGCTGGTGGGAGTCGATCCCAGCCTCCTTCCGCTCCTGGCGAAACTCTCCCTGGAAAGCTTCCAAGAACCTAAAAAGCCGCTGAAACACCTGGACCAGGTGGTTTTAGAAGATGCTACAGAAGTCCCCTCCGTGCATTGGCAAAGTTATATTGGGTTAACCTATTATGTTTCCTTTTGCACGGATTCCGCACTGAACATTTGCTTTTTGGTTGACTCCTCCCAAGTATAGAGAGAATTTTCTCTTTAGAAGATCGTTTATAACAGGATTCGCCTTCACTGGCGAGATAAACTTCTGCTCTGTTGAGAGAGCCCATTCCTTCACTCTGTATGTTACACGGGAGCGCCCTCTGGCGTCCTGATCCTCCTATTGCTGTTTTGCATTGGCTGTTCTACGAATGTCTCTGGGGGTGTGGAGAGCAGGTCGCTTCAATGCTTTAATAGCGTTTTGGAATAGGAGGCGGCTTCTAACCTCCCTCCCCCTCTATGAGCTACGCTATTCCTAGATTTCATTTTTTTAAAAAGTTGCTTGCCGTTATCTCTTCTAGATGCCAAGATAATTTCCCTATATTATAATTGGCTTTTTGGTCTTTAATTCAATTCCTAGTGTGAGATTGTGGCTAAAGAAAAACAACCAGGATTCAAAGTTGATCCAAGGAAAAAGGCTTTATTGGATATACCTCTGCAGATGGGTTCCGCCCTTGGCAGCTGGGAGGAACAAAAAGCATAGATTTCGCTCTACTTTTATACTCTAAAACTACACACACACACACACACACACACCGTATACAAATGGCTTGATTTACAATACATCTTTCAGGGTACAAGTTACATTTTATTATCTTTTTGGTACCCAGCACATAACAGACATTTTCTTACCCGGTATCTGGCATTTCAAAGACATTCCAAAAGAGTGTGATAATTCCCAGCGCTTCAAAGGCATATGCCTGGTACTGCACTCCCTTACTCCAAGGACATAATCTATCTTTCAACATGAGATTTGAGTCATAAAAAGGATTCTTTATTAACGCTTCTCACAATCCCCCCTGTTCTCATTCCATCCTTGACTCAAACTCAGTTAATAATAAGTCTGCTGTCTTCCATCCTTCTTCAGGAGATTCCTCCAGGTTCTCCAATGGGTCATATTATTGTCTTAACACCATCATTTGTTCAACAACCTGCCTTTTGGCTATCAGGGAGAGAGTGCTAGTCATCATGCGGATGACTATAGGAAGAACACATGGTAGTATTACACATCCCGCTGCAATGATACCAATGAGTGCTACTATGGCTTGTAACCCTGGGAGCTTAGGAAACCAGGATCCAAACAGGTTCCCCATATTGAATCCTTCCCAAGTCTGGACTGGTACATGGGCTACTTTTACCATTCGGTCTGCTATCTCCTGGATCACCTTTCCACTCTCATCAATTTCGATGCAGCAGTTTGTTAGATTAAATTTCCCAGATACTCCTCCCTCCTTAGCAAGCAAATAGTCCAGAGCCAAGCGATTTTGCATTATATATGTTCTTGAGCGTGCACTTTCTTTAGCTAAATGTGTCATAGTCAATATAGTTTCATTTGTGATTATTTCTACTACAACTCAAAGACCCACACCCATTATCTCCCTCATCCATTGCCTCGCAGGCATCAAAGGTTACTGACTGTGACACGTTGGGGTTATAGAAGTCATGGTTCACCATTACCTTGTTCCCTGCCTGAATCTTTATAGTACCTATGTGTGGGACCATTCGGGTCATAACATTTGACACTCCCTCCATCCTTACAAATGGAGTAAGATGTCCCATTGTAGATACAAGTCCCGGAGTCTCTTTTCCTGCAACTCAGTTGAGTATGGAAAATTAGAGTCTTTGTCACTTGTGTCCCTGTTTTTGTTGTTTTTATGCATTGATCACATTGTCCCTCAGTCTTAGCTTTTGTCTTTATCTCAGTCTCTCCTCCTATCCTGCTCATGAGTAGGTAAATAGTCACTAGGCAAATCAGCTGCATGTTACCGCTTCAGAGTTAACTTCAACGGCTGACCGTCCACTGGAATGGCCTTCCAAGGTTTCTCAGATTCCGGTGCCCTCTTGACTCTGCTGTAATGCATCCAGCCTCCTTCTTGAGTGCGAACTGCAGATTCAGTTGTCAACAGCACCTGGTACGGGCCTTCCCAGCTGGGCTGCAGCTTCTCGCTCTTCCAAGTTTTTATCAGGATCCAGTCTACAACTTCATGGGGATGTTGGCTGCCAGCAAGAGGTGGTCGTTGCGCCAACAATCCTTGTTTATGAAGAGAAAGCAAAGACCTGGACAGTGTCTGCAAATATTTTCTCAAGAACAAATCTTTGAATTCAGGAATTGGATTCCCTATTTTTGCCAAGTAGGGTCGCCCCATTAGCATCTCAAATGGAGAGACCCCAGTGTCTTTCCTTGGACATGTTCTGATTCTGAGTAGTGCCAAGGATAAATTCTTTATCCATGGTAACCCATTTTCCAATTGTAATTTGGTCAAATGTTTCTTCAATTCCGCATTCCCCCTCTCCACTTTAGAACTGGATTCTGGGTGCCACGGGGTGTGTAAATCCCATTTCACCCCTACAGCTCCCATCACAGACTGTAACACTTTTTGTGTAAAATGTGTCCCCCTGTCAGAATCAATAGCTTCCATCATCCCATAACGAGGAATGATCTGTTCTAACAGGATCTTGGTTACTGTGGGTGCTGTGGCTCTCCTAGTCGGATAGGCCTCCACCCACCCTGTCAGATGATCTTTAATCACAAGTAAATATTTCCACCCCGCTTTCTCTGGTAATTCAGTGAAATCAATCTGTGCTCTCTGGAAAGGCCAGCCCACTAGTCTGCCCACCTGTTCCCAACTACCTCTGGGGTGTTCCCTTTCTGATGAGCATTCACATGCACTATTGCCACTTGATCTGTCAGTTGCAGGGCCTCCAAGGCCTGTTCCACAAGCTGTAATTGTTCAACTTGTTTCCCATCAGCCTTGATAAAGCCCCTCTCCTGCCAGATCTTACCAAAGGTTTGGACCACACCCCAGGCGTATTTGGAATCAGTCCAGATGTGTCACATCAATTCCTTCAGCCAACTATAAGGCCCTTTTCAGAGCAAACAACTCGCACTTCTGTGCAGACCATGAGGAAGGAAGAGAGCCCTTTTCTATGACCTCCCCTTCTCCTGTCACGACTGCAAATCCTGACTTCCTTTTTCCTTCCTCAACCCTGCTTGATCCATCCACAAACCACCTTTCCCCATCTTTCAAAGGAGTCTCTTCCAGATCCTCCCTCACCTTTGTCATCAAATCTACTTGCAACAAACAATCATGATCCTCAGCTTCCCACTGCTGTCTTCTCCCTTCTAGGAATTCTGCTAGATTCAAATTCCTGTCTGTCCCAATCACTACATCAGGGCTGGTTCTCAAAATGGTCTCATATTTGAGAATCCGCCCCTCTGTCATCCAAGTTGTTGCCAACTGACTTAGCACAGAAGTGACCTGATGAGGAGAATGCACCACAAGCCCCACCCCCCAAAGGTTAACTTCTTGCTCTCTACCACCAACATAGCTGTAGCAGCCACAGCCTGCACACAGATTGGCCATCCCCTCACCACCGGCTCCAGAGTTTTGCTCAGAAAGGCGATGGGCTGGTATTGCCCCCCACTCTTCTGCGCCAACACTCCTAGTGCCGTTCCCTGGGCTGCTGACACATACAGATGAAATGGGAGCTCTAAATTGGGCAAAGCCAAAACCGGTGCGGATGACAGTGCCTTCTTTAAACCTTCCCATTTTTCATCATCTCCCTCTAACCATTCTATACTTTCTCCTTTTCCTACCAGCTTCCTGTGCAGGAATTGAGCTAACACAGTGTACTGGTCCACCCAGACTCTGCAATACCCCAACAATCCAAGGGCTTTTGACTTAATGCCCCAAATATTTCACCTTCCTTTCCACAAACTGGATCTTTTCCCTTGAAACTGTCAATCCTTGCTCTTTCAGCCAATTTAACAAAGCCACAGATGCTGCTCTAACCTTTTTCTCTTTCTCCCCAGTCAACAACAAGTCATCCACATACTGAATCAACACGATCCCTTTCCCTTTCTCAAAAGACACTAACTTTTCTTCCAAAGCCTGTCCAAACGACAAAGGGCTCTCAGTATAGCCCTGGGGAAGTACTGTCCACCTCAATTGCTGTTTTCTCCCAGTCTCAGGATCATCCCATTCAAATGCAAGCAGGTCTCTACTTCCCTCCTCAAGGGGGCATGCCCAGAAGGCATCCTTCAGATCTATCACAGTAAACCATTTGTCTTTGGGAGGAATTCGTCCCAAGATAGTATCGGGATCAGAAGATCCTCCTCAAATCATTAACTAATCATCCTTATTCCCTTCCCAGTATCCCACAGCTGGATACCGAACATAGGCAACAAATCTCTCCCCAGCAAATTCACTCCAGAATCAGGAATATACAACACTTCAGCTTCAGTCACCACTTCATTCATTTCCAGTCTAATTTGTTCAAACACACTCACATCCTGCGATTTTCCACTCACCCCAACTACTTTTATCACTTTCCTTGATCTATGTGCACCTTCTACCAGGTCACACACAGAAGTCTGGCTTGCGCCGGTGTCTATCAGGAACAGCCGCTCCTGATGGTTAGGACCCACTAAAATGTTTACCAATGGCTCCCCGCAGGTCCTCTTAAAGGAGCTGGAACAGCCCTAATCATCATACAATGCATAACTCCACTCTTCTCGGTTGGTAGAACAC